CCCGTAAGACGTAGTCTACGTCAAAAAAATGACTCACACACTTTAACGACGAGACCCAGCAACAAAATGACTAATTTTTCGATCCTAATAAGCCCAATGCGCGCAAAATCTAGGGAAGTAAAGCCGTTGGTCCCCGGTTCATGAGTTGATGGGTCGATAGGTAGGGCCTAGGTGTGGGAGCTGCCTTCCTGGCGTCGGTAGCATTGGTACTCAGTACGGAAAACAAGATCAACGGAAAACAAATCAAAGAAAAAAAAAATTAAAAAGTAGGGTAGAGAACTACTTTGGCCTAATCGCCCAGTTTGGGCCTATCGAGCAGAAAACTTCAAATAAATCCATGATTTCAGAGTTAACAAGTCAATTATGCGTTTGGTACGATACTTTACATTCAAAGTGTTTTTATGTTACTTCATACGCGAAGTTAGCGATTTTAAGAGTTGGTTGGAAATGCTAACATGAAGCTTTAGTGTGATAATTTATTAGCTAGAGAATGATCTTGAGAAGAGAGTAGGTGGATAGTTCCGTTAGAGTACGGCAGTATGAAAATTGAATATTACATTACATTACATAGAAACGATCTTGAGCAAAGTTGTAGCTGAGAAAAATTTCTATAAGAATGGTTATCGAACTGTTCCGTAGCTCAATATGGAAAACGACTAGAAGGCAATGAACAACAAATTGAGATTTCCCATAGTAATTTACATGTAAACTTCAAATGGCTTGTGCGAAGCCTGTTTCTAACCAATTAAGTTGTAACTTCGGGAGGCTAATCAGGACCCGATTTGAAACCATTTAAGCACTGTGGAGCGAAAAAGTCAAATTTTGCATCAGTCTAATGCGCATGTAATACTGAAAAAATGCAACCTAGCAATGCTTCTCGATTATTTGCGCATGTTTACCTGCAAGGAAATGTACCTGATCGGGCGGAAGACGTAATGCTGTCATCCTGATTAATCTTAAGATGTTTAAATCTGTCGATGCCACGATCAAAATATATCGTGAAATAAGGGAAGGATGTTAGGACTATCTTTGTAACAATATTTATTAGCAACCAGAATTAAAATAATTCAACACGAGAAATGTAATACTGCTCCTAGTTATGACCACCACCACGTCCCGTAGTGAGGTGTAGGATTATCCGGGTATGGGTTCCGGGTTGGCGCTTCAATTTTGCTCGTTCCGTTCTCGAACCAACATTACCGTAATGAAATTGGGGAAAAAAATTAAAAGCTGCAACATTCATTATTCGCACCCTTGAATTTAAACACTATCCGAGTATCTCCATCATCAAATTCAGCAACGAATATTTCCGGAGTGACTCCAGATTTGGACGTAATTGCTTTTGTAAACAAACACGTCAATCGCCGATTTTTTGCGAATAAAATCTCAAGCTCGAAAACTAATAACACAATCAGGTAGAACAATGCTCTTTGGTATGGTTTGTTTACGAAATTGAACTTTTATCCGTGAGAAATCAGGTATTATACTACGCCCAAATATAATATCACTCCGGATGTGCGAAGGCTGATCTGCAAACACCTTTTCAAAGCAAACTAAATTCACTGGTTGGTCTTCTAATTATTCCGAAGTCTCACGAAGGATCCTTGACCTAATCCGACTGGCCTCCGATTGTACAGAGTCTTCCCTCTTGCCTCCATACTCTCACACTGTAGTATAGCCATAGTCCACAGTGTAGAGTTCTTGGTGATGGTAAAGTGGATGGGGTGTGGGGGAAGGGAGGAGTGGAAGGGAAGACCAATAGAATTCAGGGTTGAATGTTTGCGCCGCTGCTGTTCTTCTGACTCCATCTTCGCAACGATTGCACAATGCACATTGAACTAATTTCACCCAAAATTTCAATAGAATATACCCAATGGGTAAAACAATTCAGCCATTTAAAAATGATGCAATTTGATTCCGTACACCCTTTAATGCTTATTTTTCGGGTATCGAATTTTTATTTTAACGGTGGATGTTTTGTGTACGATCTTTTAGTCTTTGGACTTTACCTGCTTCAGGGGATATAAAGTAGTACCGTCTTTCATTTATTCATTTTTCATCTTTCAAACAGCTTAACGATTTCAAACTTAAACTAGATCTTATGAAGATTCCAACCGCTGGATTGAAACTTTGGTGATGGTGAACTCATACAAAATTGCCATACATCAGATCATTCAACTTGATGTCTGGACTTTGATGAACTTTCCGATGCTACTTTGAAACTATTGGAACTGCCCTAAAGATCTCTGAACTTCAATAGAATTCTCTATTTTTTTTTCTTTATTTAACGTCGATCTCTGTTCCGCAATCTAGTGCCAATCACCGACGGACATCGATTGCCATCCATTGACGGCAATCGAATGTGCAGGAAGGCAGTTTCGACACCTGCGTACGATATCGCACACATGGGCCGGGACCAACGGCTTTACTTCCCTTCCGAAGGAAGACGTGACCAGAGATTTTTATGCCTCAGAAAAATCCCACCGACCTCGGCTGGGATTGAACCCACACCCATTGGGGTGTTAGAAAGCAGTCACGCTTACCACTACACCACCGGCACCGGCAATAGAATTCTCTAGTCTTCCATGAATGTCCCTCCTCTCTCTTTAGTTTTAATTTTTCTGAAGTTAATTGAACGCCTTGAAGCTCTTTGATCTATCTTGAAGTTGTTGCAATTTTTTTAAAGTTTTCTAAACTTCCAAGAAACTTCCCTGAACTTCTTTGGGCTTTTCTGAAGTTTCGTTTCTCCATGATGATGTTAACTGGCTAATTCTATTAATAGATCAAATCCTACCTCGGCTACGACCTCACGGTCTTTGAGGAAGAAGGAAGTGTTACTAGAGACCGGGTATACCTCTGCATCTCCATAAATGACACGGGAAGGATAGTTTTGTGTTAGTGGGTCGGGTTATTTTGTTACATCAGGATTCACTGTGGTAAGAGTAGGGTTACCATATGGTATCTTAAAGGAGGACATGTCTTCCTTTTTCAATAATGTTTCTACATCCTCCTTTTGCCTGAAAATGTCCTCCTTTTTAGTACTTTCATTTGTTCCAGTAACATATTCATAAAATTGTTTTCAAGGGCGTTGTTTACAGAGCTTATTTGTTTAATTTTGTCACAACCTAATCTTATCTAGCAAATGCCATTCGAAGGTGGGACTAGGAGCAACTACAGCTGTCAACCCCCCTCCATTTTGGGTGCGGTTCATTGGGTGAATTTTAACTTATAATTGACAGATGGAAAATTTTCAAATAAACCTGCTATTGTACCAGACTTATTTCAGACAAACCAGGAATCAATTTTGACAAATAATTTCTTGAAAATCGGACAACAACAGATGGATTTATGAACATTATAATTTATTTTACTAAAATTTGACATTTCAAAAATAAATTATAATGTTCGAAAATCTCTCTGTGATTTTTGAGAAGTTGTTTGTCAAATTTGATTCCTAGTTTGCCAGAAATAAGCCTGGTACAATAGCAGGTTTATTCGAAAATTTCATATCTGTCAAATTTAAGTTAAAATTCACCAAGTGGAATACAGCCACACATATTGAAACTAACATTTTGTCGATTTTGACGTTCTGGTTCTATAAATAGTACGCTAATCACGCCTCTTCGTTCCCACTATGGCAGTGGCGTATGCTGAATCAATGGTAAAATTAACAGGTTGCTTAGATGTTCCATGTTGGTTTCAATCATCGATGAATTATGAAGGCTAGTTTGATGCATTTTTCAGAAGTATAACGAGAAGATGAATTGAATTGGTAACGACTACAAATTATGAACAATCTCAATTAAACCTTTGCAAATCATGAATTATGTGATAGCGCACATATTATTAAAACGTTTGATAAAAACTCATTGTCCTCATTTAATGTTAAGAAAAGGAATCATTGTCCTCCTTAGTCTCCAAACCTCAAATGAAATGTCCTCCTTTTCAATTTTTTGATATGGTAACCCTAGGTAAGAGTGATGCGATCAGTGAAAACAGCAGACTGTTTTAATTTTAAATCTAAATGGGATAGAATAAGCCAAAGTAAAACATTGCAAGGAAGACGGGTCTGGGATTGAACTCCAGAACTTCTACTCAGTACGCAGAAACGGTACCACTAAGCTACCGAACCTCGGCTTAAAACGGACAAAGACAGCTTTTGACCAATATCAAAAACCAACATATTTCTGGTATACGAGAACTTAATAACTGACCGAATACCAATAAATAAGCTTTAAATTGCCATAGACCCCAGAAGACTCTGTTCGCAGGAACTCGATAATGCTAATATTCCTCTATGTGATAGCCCAGCAGCTCACAACGAAGTTATTAAAACTCAATTTGCCTGCGGCAACAACGAGCGATGGTTCAAACAAGCTATGACTACATAGTTTCACCAAGCGTCTGCTAGGCGTCATAATGAATTCAATAAATTTAACCCTCGGAGAAATAAATTTGATATGATGAATATTAATTGAAATTTTCCTTTTATGTACTCGAATCTACCTTCCCCTAAGCTGCCTCAAAGCCCACTGTTTATTGTGTTAACCACGAAAGGATAGATACGATCCTTGTTTGCTGATTTTTGAGTAACAGCAACACGAACAACATCATCATCACTTGAGGGCTTTATTTCTCTCTGATTTATTACAATACTCAGCCCATCTCAAAACGGTTTCATTTATTCGAGGGTATCTAGCTTACGGAGGGAGCATGTTTAATCGCTTCCATTGTGATAAAGGTACATAGCTGGGTTAACCTGGGCTCTTCTTAAAACAGAAAGAATGAACAAGGCTGTAAATTACACAAAAGCGATATAACTTCACAACAATGCTGTTTTGAAACATTTAACCTACATTTTACATGGCTTGAGATCATCGTTGAGCTTTTTTACGACAAGACGGGTAGGCAAAATAAAACATGTGTTCTTATGTAACATTTCGTACAGCTCAAACCACAACGTGACAGTAATATAGATTAATATTAGCACTATTATTGAAATGAATTTTCCACTGACGGCATCTTTTCTTTTCTCATTCCAGTATTCCCTTCTGCAGACGGTTGTGGAAGCATGCCAAAAGAAAAGGCATTGTAAATTTCTAGCCTCACCGAAAACCTTCGGTGGCGACCCCTGTCCGGGTCACCGAAAGTTCGTCGAAGTAGCTTATAAGTGTAGACCATGTAAGTATTGCTAGGGGTGTGGTTTTATTTATGTTCGTATGCTAATTTGGATTTGGTTTGGCTAATTGCCCTCACAATTGCAAATAGGAATGAGATTACAATTTATAACGCTTTAGTTAAACTGTGCTGAAGCATCATATTGCTTACGGATGATTACTCCGTTTCGGTCCGACTCAAAAGATTAAGTTAAAAAATCGCCATGTCTATAATTTATGAGATATTCTTATGAAATTAGCAATGGAGAAATTTGTCTCGTTTCATTTTGTTTTGTCCCTGTGGTCAGACTTATTTCGGTCATTGTTCTAAATATTATAACGATATAGTCAATTACATATTAGTAAACCTGAATAGTTCAATCCGTAAAACACCCTCAGAGTCCCTTAAAACTGACCTCGGTAGGGAAGATTGATTAAAATTAGTCCTAAGAATCACAAAACAATTTTTAATTACGTATACAAGTAATTTCAGGTAAGTTTTGAGCTCAAACATAATGATAAATGGGTCTCAGGAGGAAGCAGACCCCTTTTTACCTGACATGACCCAGGAAAACACCGGAATAAGTCTGATCACACGAACAAAACATCCAATCGGATATTTTTTTTCCAAAAAACCAGTCAAAATGTTTAACTTCAACTATTATGTCAAACCAAAACGAGTTAACGGGTTCATCTTACACGTCCTACTGCCTCAGTTGACACACCTAGTTGGCACGATGCTTGGATTTTGACCAATCCAATGTCCCTTCTCCTCGTGGTAAGGTTAATCTCTCCAGCATCAATTTACTGAAATCTTGAAGAAAGTGCTGCACATCTTGCTCTCAGTGTGTTCCAGATCAATTCAGAACCACTTAACTACTCCAAAACCAAAGGTTAAACGGAGAATGGCAAACGTGTTTACTGTACGTACCTTTTCAGTCTCAAATTTTTACTGAAACACTTTGTCATTTGTTAGGTGGTAAAGGTCGAATATCAGGAAACATTTTGGTGTAAACGCCGAATATCACTATTCGGTACATCACTATAGTATATAATTTCAACTGATTACAAATGGTCTTTTATAGGAATATTGATTAAAAGCTATCACAAAAAACTAAAGACGGATTTTTAATGTCGTAAACGACATTTCTTTCATTCTCAAAAAACTTAAATTGCTTATTTATGCCGACGACATGAAGCTCTTTTTAGAAATAAGAAATGAAGAAGACATCAATATATTCCGGAATGAAATACACATATTCTACATATGGTGCAAAAAAAGTCTACTAGAATTGAATGTAAAAAAATGTAACTTAATATAATTTAGCAGAAAAAGAACAACTTCAAATATTTCAATTGCACTAGGAAATCAAAATGTAGAAAAATGTGAAAGAGTTAGGGATTTAGGAATTATCTTAGACTCTAAACTAACTTTCATAGACCATTACAACACAATTATTCACAGGGCAAATAACATGCTAGGCTTTATCAAGCGCTTTTGCTATAACTTTCAGGACCCATACACAATTAAAACACTATATATCGCCTATGTGAGGTCAATACTGGAATATTGCAGCATTGTATGGTCTCCTTTTTCAATCACGCACGAAGAAAGATTAGAATCCGTACAAAAACAATTTCTATTATACGCTCTTCGTAAATAAGGTTGGACATCATTTCCTCTTCCATCATATGAAGCACGCTGCATGCTTATAAACATACAAACATTAAAAGAGCGTCGTGAATATGCAATGGTTTCATTTGTAAACGATATCGTTTCGCAACGCATTGACTCCACAGAACTTTTATCAAAATTAAATTTCCATGCACCTACTCGGCAACTCCGAAATCGAAATTTATTTGCCATAAAACATTATCGTACAAACTATGCAAAATATGGGCCATTAAACCGCATGATGGCCTCTTACAATCAATACTGCGAAACCATTGACTTTACAATGTCTCGGCATAAACTAAAACAATATTTTTACTCCATAAGGCATTATAACTCATAAAAAATAGGAAAGCTGACACTGCTTAGTTTTTATTAAAGAAAAAATTATACTTTTAACCTTTTGTCCAAAGTTGACGAAATAAATAAATAAATTTAAGAAAACAAAACTGTATTCTAATATGTACTAGTCTACGTTGGTTGACGAAATAAATAAATAAAACGTAAAATATGAAAAACCGTACAATCGTTTGACAATGAAGTAGTAAAACGTTTCTTGAATTTCCGTTTGGAATGTGGCTATTATCTGACCAATTACCGCATATATTCGACTGTTATAGCATGGAATCATAAGATAAGAATAAATACTAACGATGTTAATGCATAGATAAAAAAAACTTCAAATATTTATGGAATTATTAATTAACCAGTGTGGTTTTTAACTTCGAAATTCTATGTACCTCGGTAATACTGTATCAGGGAGGCAACTTCAAAACCATATTCAGAACTTTGTTCTGAATCTTTTGAAGTGCTTTTTTCCTGGTAGTGAAACAACTAGAGCATACTGACACAGCGTAAAGCATGGCCGGTCTAAAAACTTGTTTAAATATTAGAAGTTCATTCGTCAGGCAAATTTTGGATTTCCTGCTTATAAAAGGGTACAAACATTTTATATAGGGGAGATGGATGTAATGTTGGCCTAAATGCCCCTAATTTGGGCACATACAAAAATTGAGCAATCAATTAAATTTTCAAAAGCTACCTAAAAATATCCAATACTACCGTCTCAATGACGCTTCATCTAGATAAAATTGATAAATAGCAGATTTTTAGCGTTGTGCTCAATCTTAGATCCATAGGCCAACATAAGTGCCATTTCCCTTATTTGTTACATTTGCCTTGAATGCTCTCAATGTGATCTTTAAAAGTTAATTTTTGGTCAAGTACTAATTCAAGATATTTCTTTTCACTTGACCAAGAAATTGGAATTCGTTCGTAGTGACTATGTGACTACTAATAGGTTTCAAACAGGAAATTCTAGGCTTTTGTGGAAATATTATAAGTTGAGTTTGGGAAGCGTTGGGAGAAATCTTCAATTTTTGTAAATAAGAAGAAAATATCCAAACTTTTCTACAGTCTGCTGCAAATAACACGAAGATTTCTTCTTTTAGCAGAAATGCCTGTGTCATCGGCGAGAAAGATTTGTGGCAACGCTGAGGCAAATCAGGGAGGTCTCAAGTGAAAATGTTATACAAAATAGGCCCAAGAATGCTACCCTGAGGAACTACTTCTGCTCTAACAAGTAGTCGTTCAGATTTGGAATTGTGATAATATACCTGAACTAATTGAACTAATTTCATAAAATATAGTGGAAAATTAAACTTTTTCAATTTTGCAATCAAACCTTCATGCCAAAGACTGTCGAATGCTTTTTCTACGTCTAGAAGAGTTGAGCAGCCTTCTGATTTGTTTGAACGAATTAAATTCGTAACTCTCAAGAGTTGATGAGTAGTTGAATGCCCATGGTGAAATTCAAATTGCTCATCTGTCATCAGCGAACAAAGATTGGTGGCAACCCTGAGGCAAATCAGGGAGGTCCGAAGTGAAAATGTTATATAATATAGGCCCAAGAATGCTACCCTGAGGAACTCCTGCTCTAACAGGTAGTCGATTAGATTTGGAATTTTGATAATTTACCTGCAGAGTTCTGTCAGTTAAATAATTCTAAACTAATTTCATAATAACGGCGCCGGTGGTGTGGTGGTAAGCGTGATTACCTCTCACCCCCAGCAGGCCTGGGTTCAATCCCAGTCGGCGCCGCCGGGATGTTCTGAGGCATAACATCTCTGATCACGCCTTCCTTCGGATGGGAAGTAAAGCCGTTGGTCCCCGGTTCATGAGTTGATGGGTCGATAGGTAGGGTCCAGGTGTGGGAGCTGCCTTCCTGGCACGTCGGTAGCATTGGTGCTCAGCACGGAAAACAAGATCGACGGAAAAAACAAACCAAAGGAAATTTCATAATGTAAAATGGAAATTTTTTCTATTTAGCAATCAAACCTTCATGCCAAACACTGTCGAATGCTTTTTCTATGTCTAGAAGAGCAACTCCAGTTGAGTGGCCTTCAGATTTGTTTGAACGAATTAAATTGGTAACTCTTAAGAGTTGATGAGTAGTTGAATGCCCATGGCGAAATCCAAACTGCTCATCTACGAAAATTGAGTTCGTATTGATGTGAAGCATCATTCTATTTAAAATTATCTTTTCAAAAAGTTTTTCTTATTGACGAAAGCAGACTTATTGAACGGTAGTTAGAAGCATCAGCTGGATTTTTATCCGGCTTCAAAATTGGAATATCTTTTGCATTTTTCCATTTATCAGGAAAGTAAGCCAAATGGAAACATCTGATAAATAATTTTACCAAGAAAGACAAGGTACTCTCTGGGAGTTTTTAACGAGGATATAGAAAATTCCATCATCACCCGGAGCTTTCATATTATGAAACTTTTTAGTTATAAATTTTACTTCGTCCAAATCAGTGGCCCAGGAATCATCAAAAATATTTTCCCGAGTGAAAATATTCAGATAATCCTGAGCAACCTGAATCTCAATAGGACAAGTAAGACCCAAACTGACATTATGGGAACTTTCGAATTCCCATGCAAGTTTCTGAACTTTTTCTGAATTTGCTATCCAAATTTTACCACCTTCTTTAAGCGCTGTAAAAGGCTTTTAAGGCCATTTCAAAAAATTTATGAGCTTCCAAAAGGGTTTGGAACGCGGGTCGAACTTCAAAACATTATTTTTCAAAAGTTTTTTCAATATTTAGTGATGGAGTAATATGACATGCACTAAACTAAGGACACTGAATATACTACAATAGATTACTGGTCGCAGTGGTGTTAGGTCCCGAACAGAGGAGAAAAAACTTTCATTAAAAGACTGTTCAGCTTAACGAACCGTGTGTGACTGCAATATTCATAGTAAATAAAGAATTTATCTCATCATCCCCGGCATTCAATTAACTCAACTTCATTCTGTGAGCATATCATTAGTGAAAATTGCACTCGTCAACTTAATGAAATAGTCAAACATGAATCATGAATCCCGGAAACGTTAGCACGATATCAGTCTCTGAGGAATAGGTAAAACGCAACGGTTGTCGGTTTGTGCGACTGTCGTGTTTATTTGATTACTTAAAACAGCATACGAAATATACCGAAGCGCGAAGTCATTCCTGTGCTATGCTTGTGGCTGGCACGCGGTTGAAAGCTTCATCACGCTCTCTGGTTTCAAAATTAGAACAACCACGGAAGCCAGCTTCCGAAGCCACGTCACGGAATGTTTAGCTCCATTGAAACGGAAAACATAACTTGAATTATTTCAGTTTCGTTGGATTGCAATGTTTACATAGCGCTATGTTCACGCTTGCAATGCCATGTTTCTGCAGTTGCATTTTCTCATTCATTGCGTTTCACTTCAGCAAAAGTTGCATTTTTCTTAGCAATTTTATTTTATGGCTCTACTCGGCTGAAAGATTCTTTTTATTTTGCACTCCTTTTCTCCTTCTATTGCAGATGAATTTCGCAGCAAAATAGCGTGTGAGAACGATGTTATACAATTAATTTGCAATCCATACTCGAGGATAGCGATCTACAGTGCCAGCTACGGTCGGACGGAATACGAGAGCCTGCAGTGTTCTCAGCCACAGGGAGTAAAAGAGGAAAGTAAGTATCAACTGCAGTTTGTTTGATTTTGTGCTAGTCCAGCATTCCGAACATAGGACATTGCTCATCATGTACATTTTACCAAGCCACTGTTGCAAAATTCCAAAATCGATGAAATTTTAATTTCGTTTATGTTTAAACTCACTAACGTTTGTTCTTACTCAATCAACTGAATCATGATCCATCAACCCAGGGGTAGGGAGTAGCACAAAGCACAGAAAAATTAAAGAATAACAAATGTTTGTTAAGCTTCCACCTGGACCCTACCTATCCATCCATCAACTCATGAACCGAGAACCAACGGCTTTTTTACTTGATCAGAGATGTTATGCCTCAGAAAATCCCGATGGTGCCGTTTGGGATTGAACCCAGGCCCGTTGGAGTTAAAGGCAGTCACGCTTACCATTACACCACCGGTGTCGCTGTAGTTCAAAAGTTGTTCTATGATTTTAGGTGTCCAGTTAAAGTTTTATTTGATAGCATTTTTAATAAAAAAAAAATATGTAAAACTATTTAACACAGTTTCAAACACACTTTTAGATGTTTTACCTCGAAATAAGTTAAAACTTTTTACGTTACATATTTTTTTCTCAAAAGGATTAATTTCCTCTACAACTTTGTCCCAGATGACATTTCGATTGAAAGCGACGGTTTCAAGTTATGATATGTTGTCCTTTTCGTTGGACATTTTGAAATAATTTTGCTAGAATAAAAATGGCCCAATTTTAGCTCAAATGTGAAGCTTTGTCATGTATAGATGAATTTAAAATCCGAATACACCAATCGATAGGAAATACCTTTCGTAGGCTGTTGCGATGAATTTTTTTTTTCAACTTTTCATAAAAAACTGTTTTAAAAATGGACAATAAAAAGTGATAATTTTATCACTGTTTTCATGAAATAAACGTTCTCCCCAAACCCAGTCCTCATAATCAAGTACAATTTGGTTGCACATCGTGCTGCTTGAATCAGAAAAGTTATAAAACAGCGCTGCTAATGTACCTCAACTCATTTTCACTTCGGACGGCGGGTAAGCAGGTAGCAGTAGCAGTAGCAGAAGCAGTAGGAAGGCGGTCAAGCGCGCAGAGTTCTAGTTTTACACCTCGAACTTTGCGCGTCGTTCCCATCGAGATCATTGGCTGCTGGTAGCGGCGTCGCCTTGATAGCGCAAGCGCTCCTTGCCTGAATGATAACTACAAATCTCGATTACTTTTCGGAAGGACATATCAGCTTTTGTAAACAACGCATTTTATCGTCGGTTTGGCATAACTAAGAGCTCGCCCCACATACTAACACCGCTAACAGGTTGGGAAAATTTTCCCCTATCTGATGGTAGTACTAGCATGCGTGTGCGAACTACCAGTTACGCCAAATCGACGATCAAATGCGTTGTTTACAAAAGCTGATACTTTCCTTCGAAAAAGTAATCGAGAAATACTTCTTGGGCTGTGTACCAATGCCGAATTAAATTTAACTCGTGGTTAAACGTGACATTTCGAAAATGCCGGAATTTGATCAGTTTTCAAACAGAACTCAGCCACGGTTACCAAAATTTAACTTCTAGTCGGTCCGAAATAACCACGCTTGTATAGCAGGGTTATTCGATAACTCATCTGTCACTTTTAATCACGAGTTAAATTAAACTCACCCATTGCGGCACAGCCTTGGAAGTAAAATTAGGGCCATCCATAAATTACGTATATTTTGACCAATTAACCCCCCTTCCCCCTCGGAGCGTGTTTTGCAATACACCTAATACATGGCCGGCCCCTTATTATGAAACCCCTCTCCTCCCTCAACTACTACGTTATTTATGAAAGTTCCCTAATCATTGGGCAACACTGAAAGACAGCAGCACACACCACACAAAATGGGTTGGACATTTATGCGAAATTTCGGTATTGATAGCCAATATTTCGCGTTCAGAACATTTTAGCTTGAAATCCCTCCATTTAATTCTCGGTACATCTTTAATCTATTGATTGAATAAAAAAAAATCTTAATATGGTTTTTTTAAGATTTCGTGCATTTTGAGAACGCACATTCATTATTTTGCATAAGAAATAGAGAACGGGGTGTTTTTGTGATGATAAAAAAGATAAATGTGATAAATTATCAGACGGTACCTCTATTTATGATTTTAGATTAGCTATGAAAGTTCCTCCTACTTGGAAAATTATGCTATAGAATAAGCATAAATAGAGGTACCATCGAGTTTTTTTTTCAGTGCTACACAGCAAAAATAAAATGTAATATCAATCAACGTAATTCAAGCTGATGTATGAAATAATGATGTAATACCAAAAAGCAGATACAATATTACATCAATGGATGTAATTTTGTTCGCAAAATCGATGTACATCGTAAAATTTGATATTACACAACCGATGGATTGACCGGGTTGCAGCAGTTTCGATGTAATATTCAACAACTTTTTTTGCTGTGTAGGTTCTGAAATTCAACAGTGAGCGTTCAAAAGGGCCTACTTGTAATGTTCGATTCTCTTCATCGATTTTCTGTTTACAGCTAAGCGAAACAATTCAAGCTGAACATTGGATTAGGTCCTAAGTAACACTGACAAGATTATCTTCGTCGACTTTCTCCTTGAATCCACTTGGCCCAGGTATTTTCAGCACACATATCGATAAAAGAAGTTTTTATCTAGCATCTAATACGCCAAACACAACAAGAAACGATTCTGTGCTCAAGTTATTAAGGCTGTGTTCCATTTGGTGAATTTTTACTTAAATTTGACAGATGGAAAATTTTCAAATAAACCTGCTATTCCAGCAGACTTATTTCTGACAGACAAGGAATCAATTTTGACAGACGCTTTCTCGAAAGTCGGCCGATCAACAACAGAGGGATTTTCGAACATCTTAATTTATTTTTGAAGTGTCAAATCTAAGTGAAAATTTTCCAAATGGAACACAGCCTTAAATTTTTTTTTTATTTGTTCAATCGGTAGATAAAAGATGTACCGAGAACTTATTGGAAGGATTCATGGCTAATTGATATCATCTCGATCAACTATGAAATGTTGCATAACATTGTTGCAAAATTGTGCACTCCGTTTTTGTGTGTGCATTTATTTTTAGCGTTTTGAAGTTGAATCGCTGAGGATCAATCGCATTACCATAGAAAAAAAACCAAGAGTACAGATATCAGCTCTCGCAAAACTTATAACAAAGAAACTGGAACTTCACGTTTTTTGCAGTCCAGTACACAAGGAGTTTCAATGTCATGAGTGATGTCACAACCGTCCAAGATTTATGTCCTAGAAATCTTGAAGTGATAGGGAATATCAGCCATCATGACGGTCATTGTTGGACGCTTCAATGAATCACTTGAAGAAAGCCTTACTCATATCTGATTGTAATTTAGGAACCAAATGAAATAAAATATGTATTCGCATTTTTATGAGGTCCTGAAATTAACCAAGTTTTACTAAGTAGGAAATCCAAAATATGTACATAGGACCAAAATCATAGGTTACTTCTACTGTATTTTAAATCGATATCTAGAAAAAATGCACGAGAATTGCACTACACAGCTTAACGTAGTCTACGTCAACCCTGCGGTCGTGTCTTGTACACAACCCCACCAATATTTTTGGAAATAAAAGATGCCGAAGACATTTACACATTCAACAAGGAAATATAGATATTCTATACTTGGTGTCAAAAAAGCCTGCTATTTACAATTAAATATAAAAAAATTTAACTCAATTATCATTAGTAGAATACGAATCCTAACCAATATAAACAATCCCGATGGTAATTTTGCACACTCTTTAAAATAAACTAATCGTTATCCTCTAAATCAACCAATCAGCGACTGGATAACATACTGGATCCAAATCTGTAAGCAGTTGTCTCGTCGTGTCTTGGTTCCAGACGCGCATTCACGATATAATATGTGGGTATTTCAATGCAGGAGTGCTTGGCAAACCGTGAACATGACGCATTTTTCCAAATGGTTGAAACCAAGTTTTTGAAATAGCTGGGGAAATTCGTTTGGAATTCTAAATTAAAGCAAAGCTCTAATTAGGAATCGACTGCAGCTAAAAACGATTTGAGACTTCTTGGCTTTTCAACCAAGTTTTGGTCTTTGGACTTGGCCTTCTTCAGGGAGTATAATATGCGTTGAAATTCTTCACTGGTTTTCTTATTAGTTTTCTCTATAATTTCCTTTGAAGAGATAATGTGTTATATTTTTAAGAATCATCTGAAAAAAATATCTCTTATGTTCCCCTCAAATGCCAGAATCTACCTAAACCACTTTACAATTCACTTCCATTTCAACAATTAAGAATCTCAAGAACTGGACTAAATGTATCCCCATACTACTTGCATATGTTTTTGTCAGTCAAGTCTCCCTAAAATTTCTACGGGACTCTACTTATTATTGCCATTTGAGAAAAAAATCAAAGTGACTGACGACCGCAGCATGCTTTTAAAGCTGTGGTTGTCATATGTTGATTTTTCTCTTAATTGACAATGTCTTGAATTCTCCTCTAAATTCCCTAGGTTTCTCCTCTCCATTTCCTAAGTAATCTTTCTAAATTTACTTAAAAACCTAGGAATTAGACTTCCAAAATTTATCTTGGAATTCTCCTCATAATTCGCTTGGAATGCTCCCATTACCATCAAAAAGGTATCCTTAGAATTTTTCGTTATTCGAATTGTGTGAAATTCACCTCAGATTACGAACACCGATAAATTATATAGTAATGTACATAAGCAGCAAGAAGGTGCAAGCCGTGGATCCGCTTGTCTATTCATGAAAGTGTTCCGTGTGTACTCCCCAGAGGATTTCCGATTTCCGAATTCATGGCTGGGGCATTCCTTTGGCTGTCCCACCCACTTCCATCGCCTTTGCTTGGCTGTATACGTACTCGGAATACATATGTCAGTTGACAAGCTTTGCTAAAATCAATTAGCAATCGGGAATCCAGTCCTGAAAGCTACGCTTGTTAAACTTGCATCGCTAGCTGCAAAGGAACTGTCAAGAGTTAGCACGAATCAACGATGACAAGCAAATTGCAAGAAAATCTGCTAGTTCCCTGTCCACAGAACGCTGCTCATATGAATGAGAGCTACCCTCAAACGAAAGTTCCTCAAGCTCATCTCATGCACACCGCATATCATGCAACACATTTTAATGAGTTTATAAACTGACGGGTGCCTGTTATTCCAGCATGCCTTGCATCTTACGCCACCGAGACTGTCATGCAAAAATGCCACGGCAGGAGAAAATGCACGTTGTCAGCAGATAGCCCAACTTTCGGCAAGCCATGTCGTCCCGACTCGAGGATGTATTTAAAAGTTGTTTACACATGTGGTTAGTATCATGTTAATTATATTTCTGCTGAGCTGTTTTAATCTTTGCTATGATTTGCTGGTGTGCCAACGAAACACGATTATCGCCACAAGTTTAACTAAATTAGTTTTCCATTATACTGTTTCCTTCTCATTTGGTGCGGCTCATTGGGCACATCGTGTGAACAGTGCCTCGAAAGGTGCTAAAGGATCGTTTCGAAGCAGCACCGGAAGCAGATGAGCCACTGCAAAGTGACTTGGAACAGGACCACGACGGCCAGTACGACGATGACCAGTTTTTCCGTGAATCGGAAGCAATCCCACCCGGACCGGCACCGAAGCTGCAAGGAGGTCCAACCAATAATCGAGAATCGTCAGACATTCCAGGCTACATTGCTGCCAGTAGTACACCGCCTGTGCCACCACGCTCGATGCAGGACATCATAGAAGACAACGAGTTTTCTTTCGAAGGTGAGTAGGCTTTATCAGAATCCATTATCTAACGCTTTCATGTAAAATTGCTTCTTCGTGTGAAAAGCACTCCTATTGCGAATTCTAATTTTGCACAACTTCATTCACAATCGAAATTCGATGATCCGGAGGGGGCAAATTAAAGTCATAATAATATTTCTAGTATAAAATTGCGAAAAAACAGTCAATCGGTAAATTGAAGATAATGAGTAGAAAATGGACTATTCTAAAGTCGAATGGAAATGTCTACATAAGACTGTATCATTTTGATGTTAGTATAGTCACAGCAAAAATTAATTTTGATATCACATCAAAGTGGATGCATTTCAATCGTGTCACAAATATGGTGTAATATAACTTGAAATAAAGGACAAAATTATCAGCAATACAGTGCATGAACTAACATTACGCTGCTTTTACTGCATTTGTTTATGTTTGTGGCCATAAAAATTACATGAGATTTTCGATATGATTGAAGTGCATCCTCTTGGATTTAATATTTTTTTTTTGTGTAACCAAACACGTTTAGCATACTTCATAAATCTATCTATCTATCTATCTATCTTAACATCTTCTGACCTAACTCTCGACAATCGACAACGGCAAAGCATTTGGCAAACAAATGCGCGATAAGGCAATTAATACAGAATGCAATCGAAATACTGAATAAAAACTTGATTCGTCTCGTCTCGGGAAAAACTACAGTCATATCTAACCCTATTGCTCTCAATAGAGCGAAATCTCCTACTAAACCACGGTTATCACCACGGAAAATGACAAAAATTCACCGTGCATCCCTGATCCGCGATCCACACTCCAAGGTGTACTTTCCAACTTAAAACCAAGTCATCTTTGAGAAGAATGTTGCTGCCTTGTCTTGTCTGTTGCACTAGTTTACATACCAAACCAGTGGTGTTGGCAATCTGAGCCCGCCTAAGCGAACCAAACTGGTTGTACTTTGCCGTGAACTGGATGTACACCGGAAGCGGATGCGTCGCTAGAACCTTTTTGCTAAAAGCGTTGAGTGCTGGCGCCGGAACCACGTGATTGTACGTTTGGTACAGTCTCTCTGCGCGCAATTGTCCTGCTGCTGCATGATCGGTCCCGGTAAACTGCCCAACTCACAACCACCTATACCGACCAGCGCCGGTGGTTTAGTGGTAAGCGTGATTGCCTTTCACCGGCATAAAATCTCTGATCACGCCTTTCTTCGGAAGGGAAGTAAAGCCGTTGGTCCCCGGTCCATGAGTTAATGGGTCGGTAAGTAGGGTCCAGGTGTAGGAGCTGCCTTTCTGGTGTCGGTAGCATTGGTACTCAGTACGGAAAAGAAAGCAAGGAAAAAACACCTATACCGCTGCGTCCTTCCTGATTAGCCGTTGTTGTTGGATGATTCCCGTTTATGAACGCTGCTGCTGCTGCTATTGTTGCTCCTTCCGTAGTGCTACAAGCGTGGTGAAGCCCATGAGGAGCACTTATTCATTTGGGAGAAATTGTAGGCAACCAATTCCGTATACGTAAGTATCCCCACGGCCATGTTAAGACATTCCCAGGTATTTTCAACACACATATCGGTAAATGAAGGTTTCACGTAACCTATAAAACGACAAACACAACAAGAAACGTTTATGTGCTCAAGTTATAAACGAAATAGAAAGGCGACGAACATAATCGATCAATGTTACCTAGGACCTAATGCAATGTTCAGCTTGATATAGGTTCCTGAATCGGTACGTCGAACAATAAAACAACTGCTGGAGTCCTTTTTGATTGGGTCGTATGTAACATTTTTGGCAATTACAGAAATGAGGTGTTCTGGTGTTGTTTCTATTTTCAATTAGATAGATAACTCTCAAAATACCCATTAACTAACATCTCATGAGTGCTGTTATCGACTGAGCAAGGTATTAATAGCGTTCCTTTAAAAAAACAAACGATTTTTAACCAATTAATATTATACAATATTTTGCATCCCGTAGTGTTACATTCGACGGTTGGCATTTTAGTAGTTTAAAAATGTATTATAATGAGTAATATCTCACGGAAAGCAAAGCTATCACAACCGATAATTTGCAAAATTTGCACTTATAAAGGGTGATACGGTCAAAATTTGGTCAAGGGAAAACGCGTGTAAATCGGTGAAATCGTTTATTTAAAAAATCAAATTAAATTTCTTTTTCAAGTTCAATTAGTATAAAATTCAGGAAAAATATTCAGTTAGGCTTCCGCTTTTCCAAATCCGAATTGCCGGGCCTTACGCTTGACCCCTGCCATCAGATTTTGTACAGCCACCTTGTCCACCTTCTTCGCCGCAGAAAGCCAGTTTGCCTTGAACTGCTGCTCGCCCTTAGCAGTTTTTTTGGTCTTCTTTAGGTTCCGCTTGACAATAGCCCAGTATTTCTCAATTGGGCGGAGCTCTGGCGTGTTGGGAGGGTTCTTGTCCTTGGGAACCACCTGCACGTTGTTGGCGGCGTACCACTCCATGGCCTTTTTACCGTAATGGCAAGATGCCAAATCCGGCCAAAACAGTACGGAACAACCGTGTTTCTTCAGGAAAGGCAGCAGACGTTTATTCAAACACTCTTTCACGTAAATTTCTTGGTTGACAGTCCCGGAAGCTATGAAAATGCTGCTTTTCAAGCCACAGGTACAGATGGCTTGCCAAACCAGATATTTCTTTGCGAACTTTGACAGTTTCATGTGCTTGAAAACATCTGCTACCTTTCCCCTTCCTTTTGCCGTATAAAACTCCTGTCCCGGAAGCTGCTTGTAGTCGGCTTTGACGTAGGTTTCGTCGTCCATTACCACGCAGTCAAACTTCGTCAGCATCGTCGTGTACAGCCTCCGGGATCGCGCTTTGGCCGTCGTATTTTGTTTATCATCGCGATTTGGAGTCACTACCTTCTTGTAAGTCGATAGTCCGGCTCGTTTTTTGGCTCGATGCACGGTTGTAGACGATACACCCAGCTTATTTGCGGCATCTCGGAGAGAGAGGTTAGGGTTTCGCTTGAAACTACCGGCAACTCTCTTTGTCGTCTCAGTGGCTTCCGGTTTTCGATTTCCCCCCGATCCAGACTTCCTAGCTGTCGACAAACGTTCCCCAAACACTTTAATTACATTTGTAACGGTTGATTTGGCAACTTTTAGCGATTTTGCCAACTTTGCGTGCGAGTAGCTCGGATTTTCGCGATGCGCGAGCAAAATTTTGATACGCTGCTCTTCTTGCTTGGACGGCATTTTGACAACTGAAGAGTGAATTCCAAAATCAAAATAGGAACAACATTCTACACACACACCTTCAAAATGAGGGGTGTTCAGGTTTTTTAAATAAAATTGAAAGAAATACGTCGATATTGACCAAATTTTGACCGTATCACCCTTTATGTGGAAAAAACAACAAGTCGTTTGTACAGTTTTTTACGCTTCTGTAAAATTTGTTGCATACGACGACTGACACTCCCATAGAAGTTAGATGTCGTATGTAACATTGAACTTTGTTTTGATCTTTTCAGCCAGCCCAAGGCTGAAAGTCTCTTTATTAAAAAAAAAATGTTTTGATCAGTTGGCATATACGACAAATAGTTTTTTGATGAGAAATTAAAACAGGAATGAGGAAGCGGGCCCAAATTTTGCTTTTATGAAGAGTAAGCAGAATAGCGTATGGTAGCATAAAAATGTATTTTTTTTTCCTTTGTTACATACAACCTATCTAAAAGCACTCTAGAACTATCAGCTGATTGACAGCTCTCCCACGGACGCACTCACACATAGACACTCTCTACAATACGAGAAATAATGAATGCGTGCTTTCATAGTTTAATCCTCTCTTGTCGCGTACCAAATCGAGGATTATGATTTAATTCAGATTTTCCGGATTTTGGATCGCGTATTATCCTCGGTGGAGCTTATCGCTATAAGTGAAAAATCAAAATCTGATGTAATAGGGTTTTTGATCTAATTTCCGTCCTACTAAGGACATCCCGCACTTTACCACGCTTTTTGTAAAGCGTTAGAATAAAACATGGAATGTTTTCATCAAAGATAACTTCTAAATTTATCCACCTTTCCATACGTACCGTTGGATTTGATAAAGAGTTAAACAATCACAGCAAAAAAATAATTTTGATATCACATCAAAGTGGATGCACTACAATCATGTCGAAAATTTCATGTAATTTTTATGACCACATAAATAAACAAATGCAGTAAAAGCAGCGTAATGTCAGTTCATGCATTGTATTAATGATAATTTTGTCCTTTTTAGCAAGTAATATTACACCATATTTTCGACATGATTGTAGTGCATCCACTTTGACGTGATATCAAAATAATTTTTTTGCTGTGATGTTGAGATATTATTAAAAATCTAACACTGCTTCTTGCTTCTAAATTCGTCCTACTGGTTTCAATTCCGTCCAAACGCATTGAAACGCCATTAGATTTTCTTCGTCCTACGGATAAACGGAGGAAAAGGGGATGCGCTAGGAGCGCTTCTTTTGTTTTGAGAACAATGAGCGTAAATATGCATACAACGCGCTCTAATAGGATTTATGTCGTAGCTAATGAACTAACGCATCGGAACAAACGTATTATTGTTTTGTGCATGGTGAAATCATTGATATTATTGATGATTTCTGCTCGATAGAACGGAAATGGGCGATTACGACGAAGTAGCGCTCTTCCCTATATCTGCAAGTTCCTAAATGAACAAAGTTGAAACTAAAGGACACATATCCAATAAAATTTCAAAATTGGTCTTACATATTTTTCAGATACCGAACTAGGACTGGCAAATGCCATTTTCAATGAAAATCTCATTGATTTTTTTTTTTGTCATGAACGAACGTGATAGTGTTGTCACAGACAAACAGGCGTAACTCTTCATTGTGTATCTTCATTCATGCATTTAACGGTTGATTTGAATATTATTAGTTCCGCGAACTACTCGCCGCAGCGCTAGCATCGAATCACTTTGACGTTTCTATATATTTTATAGAACTTTT